CGCCCCCATTGGTCGCCCCCGCGCTAGCCGGCGACGCCGACGTGCCCAGGAGCCAATGGGCGCCCGGCTCGCCAGCCCGTCGGCAGGCGCGGCTCGGGTCCCGCTGCTCTTTTGAGAAACCCGCACAGCCTGGGCCGGCAGCCCCCGAGCTGCTGAGCCCTTTAGTCCGGTGGTCCTGGCGGAGCCCACGATCACGAGTGATGGGCACAGGGAGAAGGGAGGGGGAGGCAAGGCAGGGGACGCTGGCAAAGGCAGACCCGCGCGGGGAAGGGGTTCTCCAAGGCGAGGCCGGGGCCACCGTTTGCCCTTTTCCTGAAGTCGGGTGGACCGGGCGCGAGGAGCAAAGCGGGCCGGGCAGACTCCCCGCAGCGTCCCCTCCACACGCGCGCGCGCGCACCGACCGCCCCGAGACACTGAGGGCCGAGGAAGGGGCCTGGGTGGACCCCCGCAGCCCGGGGCCTGGCGCGGGCAGCCTCTGCGTTCCGATCTCCCCCGGCTCCGGCAGCCTGTGCGTCCCGGGCTAGGCCCCAGCAGCTCCCAGATCCGCGTCCACAGCTCGGCGTGGACCGCTCCCCACCGCTTCCCCCACCCCCAAACCCGGGCCTCCAACCGAAGACGCCTGGCTAAACATCTTCTCCCCACGCGGGCCAACGGGGCCCCGTCCTCCTCCGATGGCCGGGTGCACGGCGGGCTTCGGAATCCCGGGGGCGAGTCCGTGTGTCCCCCACACACCCCACGCGCTGGGCGGTCCCCTCCCCCTTCCGCCGGGTCCCCCCCCCCGTTTGTCGGGAAAGGAGAACGGTCGCCGTGGATCCATTTGGGACCCGGGGCGAGGCCGGTGACGCGCGGGCGCGGGGCAGCGGCTCGCATTCTTTTTCTCTAGGACGTCTCCAACCTGTCTCTTGTTGAATGTCAGAGTAATGGGAAGTGCCAGTGACAAGGCGGCGTATTACTCCTGATGAAGTGCCGTGTCAACCTAATTAGCGGAGTAATTATAAGGTGCTAATGAATGATTCAAAGTTCTTGGAGTTACATTTTACTCCAAATTACCATTTTTTGAAGAACCCTATGGATTCTCGTGCTTGGCGTCGCTGCCAGTGCCGAGAACCAGGAGGAGAAGATGGCCCTTCCTCTCTCCCAGGGCTGGGCGGGAGAAGCCGAGGTTTAGATGCGTTTCTGTAGGTCTCTTTGGGGGGGGGGGTACCGCTTTTCTTCTCCCTTACGGGGGAGGTGTGGGAAGTGACCTTCTGGGCTCGATCTTGCCTTTGGTTGGGAACTGAGGTGTGAGCCCCAAGCCTGGAAGGGGTCGGTGGGAGAGTGGCCCCCTTTCGTTTTCTTTGGGGTGGGGGGAGGAAATGGAGAGACTTGACCCCCTCCCCAAAAATGCCCGCGCTATTTTGAGGGGCTGTTGAGCAGTTTCTTTCTCTCATCTTGGAGGTTCCCCCCTGTCTCCTTCCCTACCCCCTAGTAGTAGGCTAAGAACAGCGGGGAGAGATGGGACGGACGAGGAAAGCATTTCCACCCTCCGAGCCGCTTGCGCTTTTTCTTTGCAGAAGGCGATGGGGAGTTTGGCGGTGGGACCCACGCCGCGTGGGTGAGCGGAAGCATGCCACGCGGGCTGCGGCTCCCCGCGGGGGGCCGATCGACGCTGGGCCCGGAAGAGGCCCAGGGAACGTGCGGATGGGCCCTGGCCTGTTGAGGCGGGCCAGCCTGGGGTGGAGGCTGGGAAGGGCCTGGGATGGAGGCCGGATTGGGGGAGTGGTGGGTGGCGTTGGCCTCCCGCCGCTCCGGAGCTGCGTGCTGGCCACGCAGAAGCCTTTTCCTCCGGCCTGGCCTCAGCCCTGCGTCCCGCGTGCGCTGCAGCCACGCGCTGGGGTCCGGAGTGCCCGGGGCGCCAGGTTCCTCCCCCTCCCAGAGCCCACGCGGGACATCTTGGCACCCGAATTGACCACCACGGGAAGGGCGCTCGGGCTGTGAGCGATCGCTCCGCTCTCCCCCCCTCCCTTCTTCGGTGATCGATTGGGGTTCTGCCCACGCTGACATCACCCGCCAACTTCCCAAAGGAGCTGTGGGTGTTATTTTGGTTTGGGGGTGTGGGGGGGTGTTTTTCCCCCTCGCCCGGGGGGAGGGGGGACCTCCGCCTCGCTCTCCCCCTCGCCGCAGGATTCAGGGTAGGAAGTGGAAAAGAGGGAGAAGACAAATGTAAAACTCCCAGATCTGACGGCCCTGCGCAAATCAATTATTCTCGACCTTGATAAATAATTCATTTAAGCCTGTTTTTGTTTTGTTCCGACGCCGAAAATGACTCCAGAGCTAAGAAAAAAAATAAAAAAGGCGGATCGCACAGCTTGTGCTGGGAGGTTCGACCCGGGGCTTGGCCGGGAATGATTCACGACGCTGGAAATGCGACCTACGAAATCTGGAAGGGAAAGGGAAGGTCCAAGTGTCGGGGGAGGGGGGGCGCGGGGTAGGAAAACCCCAAACCAGACCGGAACTCGGTGGGCCTCGCCTTGGAAATCGTTCAGATTCTATTTTCTTTAAGGGGGAAAAATATCCATTCTTGTAGGAGATTTCTTCTATACTAGCTTTAGGAGCGAAGGAAAACTACAGCCTTGACCTTTACCAAGTCCTATGTATGGGTCCTTCCCAGACAGGAAATGACCCGAGGAATCTAAAGAGGTACTCAAACACCAGATCACAAACCACCAGGAACAAAATCCCCAGGGCTAGGGCTTAAACTTCTCCGTCCTTTTATTTATTTTTTTCTCCCCTTCCAGACACACTGCTCTTTTGCTATTATTTCCCCAGAAAGTATATATAAATTGTGTGTCAAAAAGTCGTCCCTTTCGTATTAAGAAAAGCATAACTTAGTGTTCATTAGTTTAAAAAATCAGAATTCAAAAAGAAATCACATTTCCAAGTGAACGACTATGCATTTACTAAATTTAATCTCACTTACTGAATTTCCCTCCATTGGGTTTTAGATACAAGAAAATAGTGTTGTTGGTCTGAATTTTAAAATGATTGCTCACTTCCAGGTTCTCATTTTCTTCTTTTTTTTCCTTTTTTTTTAAATGGGGGGAGGATTCTTTATTTTTAGCAAAGACTTTGGAACTGTTTTGTAGAAAGTCATTATTTTCTAATTCTTTTTCCTGGCTCTGAAGGATATATTTAGTACCAATCAACACCACAAAGAACCTTTTTTTCCTACCACAGTAACTGATCCAAACACAAATTTTAATAAGTTTTGCATCTTAGTACATCTCCCACTTCACTACCTAGACTTGGCATTCTTTTAAACTGGATGGTCAGACTTTAAAAAAATAAAGCTTCTTAACTTTGGAGAATTCCGCCCTCACACAAATTCTGAAGAACTTGAAGCTGGTGCTTCCATCAGATTTAATTTGACCGCTTCTAAGGAGCCTTCAAGATGACAACTGTGTCAACTGGTGTAACTGAGGTGCAAAGGCCCTTCCCTCCACTAGGCGGCGCCAAGAATTCCAAGCCGAAGGAACTGGCTATTGTTTCTATAAGATGCAAGATAAGCTCTCCGTGCTCTAAGCCTGACTCCCTGAAGATTGTCTGACTTCTCACCGTTTTAAGACTTCATTTTTCTTTCTTTTTATTCTACCGATGTTTATCCAGTACATATGTACTCTCCAGCACATACATAAATTGCATACATTTATACACATACATGTATATGTAAATAGGCAAATACTGTACTATAGAGAAAAACCATAAACGCACAGAAATAGAGTGTCTTCCTTAAGTAGATTGAAACCAGAGAGTGGAAATTGGAAGCAGAGAGAGAATGGTAAAATGCAAGAACATAAGGAGAAAGAAACCACACGAATGCCAGGTGTTGGTGGCTCATGCATGCAATCCTAGCTACTCAAGAGGCTGAGATCTGAGAATCTCAAAGCCAGCCAAAGAAGGAAAGTCCATGAGATTTTTCCATTAACCAGCAGAATGCCTGAAGTGGAGCTGTAGCTCAAATGGCAGAG